AAGAAAGAAAGAAAGAAAGAAAGAAAGAAAGAAAGAAAGAAAGAAAGAAAGAAAGAAAGAAAGAAAGAAAGAAAGAAAGAAAGAAAGAAAGAAAGAAAAGGAGGGCTGACAGGTTCCCCGTTGCACATTCAAGAGTTTCCCCTTGTTAGGATGCAAAGATCTTTTTTTTTTTTCCCCCAAGGATGCCAAGTTTAAAACTAGTGGATTCCATGGTACTCTGCCAGAATGCAGAATGTAAATTTTATCTAGGTTTGTTCAATGTTTATTTGAGCTATTCGTCAAGTTTTGCTTGATGCAGAACAAAACAGGTGGTTTGTCCGTGCGTGTCTGTGTGCATTTCCTTCGACTCTTGACTTTGAAATTCCTTAAAAATGAATGCCTTGCTTGCATTCTTGGGGATTTATACATGAGGATTTTTGTTTGTTTGTTTGTTAGGAGGGCATCACAATTTCCATGTGAGAAACAGTTAATGGGAGAGATGCAAATTCTGCTGGTAGAAATAGCAATGAATACAATTCAGCTTGACATAAACGCAGAGAATTCTTCTCTTGCTTCCCAATTGCAATCGCGCTCGTTCCAATTCTACGGACTTTTTTAAAAAATATATATATTTAGGGTTTTTTCTTTAACATCCAAAAGTGCTTGGTGGACAGTGTATTGTCTGGGTCAATATACTTTGCACACAATTCTACTCACTTTGATGGCAGGTTAGGATGGGAATTGTAGTCTACGACCTTTATAGAGTGCCAAGACACAAATAGAGGTATTTTTTTAGGCTGGAAGGGCTGTCAGAGCAAGAGATAAATCTCTTTTGAGCTCAGCTTCTTGGTCTATCAGTGTTAGATGGGGTGGTTATTGGCTGACTCTGGTAATGCCACCGTGGGACGTGTTAATACATATTTATTAACCCAAGAAAACCTGTTTGCTCTTAAGAAGAAGGAGTGGATATCATGCCTGGGAGCTGGAATCGAATAATCAGTATTGTTCTAAAGTTCAGCTACTCAAGGCAGGGCAGTCGCCCTAAAGGGAGTAAATTACAAGCCTCCCAGTATTGACTTCTGAAAGTTGTTGGAAAGGGTGTGGCTTTTGCAAGCATGTGGACCTGTGTGCATTACACACAGAGATACACACACACACAAACACACACTCGCACACAACCCAGAGAGTTGGCCTTGAACAGACATTGCATATTTAAGCCCCTTTCATAAACCGCAATGGGAATAAATAAATGTATTTGTTGGACCCCAAGGCTGGTGAATTGAGTGCCTTTAATTAGTCAGAATTTGAAAAAGCTAATTTCTGCCTCCAGTTGCCATGGGATAATAAACCTTGCAAATCTGTCTCAAATTAGGCCAAAGCATCCAAGATTCTGTGAAATCCTTCTGTGTTTTATTTGATAGACCCTTATTTGTTAGATTGTAGGGGTGACACCAAAATATAATTTTATCGTATTTTATTTACCTATATTTTAAATTATTGTATTTTATTCCAATTTTGTTTTAAATCATATTTTATTCCAATTTTGTTTTAAATCATATTTTATTCTAATTCCATTTTAAATTGTTTTTATCAGATTTTAGTAATAATTTGTGTCTGGAACTCTGCACTTTGATATATCCCAAAGGTTACTCAATAAAGTAAACTCTAATTGTTGATAGACCCAAAGACAGATCTGGCCATCATGGTGAAACTGCTGTTTCCTAATTTCTGAGTATTGTATTTGTGGCCCCATCTTTAAAAATGACCCCCTAAGATATGTGCAGAGTAATCAATAAACATCCTATTAGGGTTGGTCTCACAGCCAGACAGATGTTTAAAGTGGATTCTTGGTATTTTTGTCTACCCACTTCTTCCCAAGGAACTGGGGTAAACAGATGTGCATGTTTGATGGTGTCACAGCTATTGTCGAAGGATGTAAGCTGTTCCAAGCAAAGCTGCCTTTTGCAATTGACTGATGGGGATTCGGTCAATGCCGATGGGTGTTCAAGTGGTGATCCAGTTGGTTTGGGATTGTACCCAAGGCGCCGATGACTGTTGGGACTCCCTTTTGCTTTCTTCTGACACAATCATTCTATTTCCGTTGCATCTCTTTCAGCTTGCGAAAAAATACGGACCTGTCTTTACTTTCCACTTCGGGTTCAAGAAAGTGGTGGTGTTGACAGGCTACGAAGCAGTGAAAGATGCTCTTGTGAACTTCACTGACGAATTTGTGGACAGGCCTTCCATACCTATATTTGAGCAAATTCAGCATGGAAATGGTAAATGCTCGCCCCCCTCCAAAAGGAAAACATACGCCTAGACTCTGTTAAAATAAGCAACACATTAAGCTCAGTTTACAGCTGCTGCAGTATATGCTACCTATCGCTAACATCTAAAGGGGGTACAACACCCCCTTCCCTTCCCAGGAAAGTAGCACGCACAAGTGTGCTTCTCATCTCTTACTTCATCTCTTAGTGGTCTCCCATTATTTGAGGGTCTGCCACAAAAAAGAGGAGGTCAATCTTTTCTCCAAAGCACTGGTTGCCAACTGGTGGGCCAGGGACCACCAAGTGGGCCAGGGCCAGAGACCAGGGACCACCTCTGGGCCAGGGACCACCGGTGGGCCAGGGACCACCGCTGGGCCAGGGGCCACCGCTGGGCCAGGGACCACTGGTGGGCCAGGGGACCAGTGGGCCAGAGACCACTGGTGGGCCAGGGGTGGGCCAGGGACCACCGGTGGGCATTGTCCAACTGTAGCTGAGCTGGGTTCCAGCTCCTGAGTGTTATAGTTTTGATCAAAAAATGGAGAATCCCAATTTCCTGGCTACTGTTGCACTTGAATGGCTTGTATCCAAGGTGTACCTTGGTCGACTTCTCACCGGGAAATTTCTCCCTCCTCCTTGTGGACTTTGTGGGGTCCTTGCTGCTCTCAAGAGCTGAGTTATTTTCTTGCAAATGTCTGTGGAGTTTGAATGCTTGAGTCTCTTAAACTCCATAGCAATAGAAGGTAGCTGTAGGAGAAGAGTAGGCAGAACTGGGGGTGGAGTTAAGCATGTCATCAGCCTAGAGTCCTTAAGTTGCCGCAAGTGATCACAGTCCAACTACTCTTGAATTCCATCGGTCCTTATCTGGTGCCAATTTAGTATTGAACTCTAGTTCTACCAGATTCATGTGTATAGCAGATTCAAGATTTATTTATCTTGAATAAATCTTCCATGCTGCCACGTAATGGGTGGTCCTGATCTTTTGCCCTTGACAGTAACCTTGGACTATAAACAACTCTTCTTCAATTGTATCTTCTGTCTTCCCCAACAGGGGTTTTCTTCTCCACCGGAGAGCTATGGAGGACTACCCGAAGATTTACGGTGTCCACCATGCGCAACCTTGGGATGGGGAAAAAACACATTGAGGAATGCATCCATGAAGAGCTCAGTTTTCTGATAGAGAATATTAACTCTTTCCAAGGTGAGCTCAGGAAAGGGAGAACTATTCAGCTGGGTCTAAGACCTCACAAAAGTAAATCCTTGTTCCAGGCACAAATCCCACAGTCTTCTTTAACAAGAGTTATTGATGCAAGAGGGATAGTTACCGGAATGTCTGCAACGCAGCTATTTCTTAGAAACAATTCATGTTGTCTTCTTGGACAGTGTTTCTCAAACTTGGCAACTTTAAGGTGGGTGGACTTCAACTCCCAGAATTCTCCAGACAGCATGGGGAATTCTGGGAGTTGAAGTCCACACGTCTGAAGGCTGTGCCAAGGTTGGGAAATACCATTCTAAGTTGTCAGAGCAAAGCTTTTATAATTCTGGTATCTAATGGTGCTTTTATGTCAACTGGAGAATAGGTGGGGCTCTTCAGTGGTGATGGGTGGGCTTACAGGTGTCTCTTTACAAAGGCCCCAAATCCTTAACAAGTGGTGAGAATTGAACCTTACAGGTCATGAGATCATGGAAAAACATCCGGGCAGAGGGAAGTTGTATACATTTCTCAGAGTGCCCTAAAATGTCAACACTTTTGTGTGTATCAGATTGGCAGCTGCAAAATTAAACTCAAAACATTCTCAAAGATCCATCTCATCCTGGAAACCCTTGTTTTTGAACTATTACCATCTGGCAGATGGTACAGAATAATAAAAACAAGGACAAACAGGCTGAAAACCAGCTTCTATCCCAGGGCAGGAGCTCTATTGAATTCTACTGTATAGTGCAATATGAATGCAATACCAGGAGTTTTCAATTCAACGTATAGAATGTGAAGGGTGTGTGTTTGTGTTTATTTTCATGGTCATGATGTGCACTGAAGATGGTATTTGATTTCGTTGTACGAGGTGCAATGACAAGTAAAGTAGACTAAACTAAACTAAACCTTATATACTGTTTCAGAGAAACGCTTGTCCAATCTCATCTTTAAAAAAACCCTCTAGTGTTGGAACCCCCACAACTGTTTCCACTGATACCAGTTATCCTCTCTTTTACCCTGAAGGCAAACCTTTTGACCTGCGAACGTTCAACGCCGCTGCAACCAACATCACTTTTGTTCTGCTGTTTGGGGAGCGGTTTGAGTACAGCAACCCGATTTTTCTCACCCTTCTAAGACTCATCGACGAAGTGATGTGTCTCCTTGGCTCTCCTGCTTTACACGTAAGTGGGTTGTCAACTTAAAAAAAAAATTCTTTGGTCTTTTTAATTGCCAGCAGAAAGAGAGTGGGGGGAAAGCAGTGCATTCCTTAAATGCCTCAGATCATCGCCTTGGCAGCCCAAAGCTGTTGGCACGCAACAATATTACTGGAGAGCATGATTGATGACTCTTGGCTATGGAAGTGTCCCATTGGAGAATCCAGGGGGGTGAGGGGGGGGGAAGACCAGGATCAAGGGGGAAATGGTGTATTTTAGTGTCGGCTGCAACCAGGAAACACCGACATGTAAACTCCTAATAAATCAATCTTTTTTTACTCTTGAGAGATGTGGCTAGAGACTTACGATTTGAATGGGGGTGCATGTTGGAGTCCTGACATGCCCCCGGAGTTCCTTTCTCTTCCCCAACAAATTTAACAAATTCAAAAGCACGGCTGTGATTGCACCATGGAAATTGGCCAACGGCTACATCCCTTTGCTGAACCATAAACATGAAATTCTTGGGCCAATTTTAAGCAAGCAGGTTATTCACTTCAGAGGCTTTCCGTTCAGCTATTACCAATAAAGACTTCTCCCAAATCTTCTGGACTTTTTTCTCCCTCCCCTTCCGTCTCTCTCCACCCCACTGTTCCTATTTGTTTCGAGGGGGAATAAATTGCTTTAAATGTTGTGCATGAAAGAATATTTGGGGGAGATTGATTGATCGTGAAAGAGAATGGAGAACGCAAGGTCCACCTACTGAATGGAGTGAAAGGCAAAACACAAGAATAATAAGGGGGGGGGGACTAGAAAAAGTTAGGAAAAAAGTATTATTGGAATGAGTTACAACCAGCCAAAGTCTGGCATCTGCAAACTCTTAAAGGTCTCTTTAAATTAACAGAGTTGGAAGGGACCTTGTAGGTCATCTAGCCCAACCCCCTGCCCAAGCAGGATACTCTACACCAAGGGTCTTTCAAACTTGGCAAGTTTAAGTCTTGTGGACTTCAGCTCCCGGAATTCCTGAGCTAACATGACTGGAGGAGGAATTCTGGGAGTTAAGTCCACAAGACTTTTAAAGCTGTCAAGTTTGAAGACGGCTGCTCTACACTATTTCTGACAGATGGCCTCCAATCTCTTCTTGAGGGCCTCCAGCGTTTGAGTGCATTTCTCTAGTTGGATACTTGGCAAGCAAAGATGTATCATGTTTCGCCTTTCTTATATTTCTCTCCTTTCCTTTGATCCCGACTAGCTGTTCAACTTCTATCCGTTCCTGGGATTTCTCTTCAGCGTTCACAAGACTTTGCTTCGGAAGATCGAAGAGGTCCGAGTGATTATCAGAGATTATATCAAGAGCAGCAGACAAGATCTCAATGCCAACAGCTTCAGGAGCTACACAGAAGCTTTGGTCTTCAAGCAGGAACAGGTGTGCTCTGGCACAACTAACAAAGCTTACAAGCAGGGTGTGAGCAGCCGGATGCCATCCAAAAAAAAAATCAAGTTGGAGGCCACATTAGGTGCATCGCCCAGGGTGACTACCATCTTAGATTGATTGACCTCATACGTCTGAACCAGTGGTCGCCAACCGGTGGGCCGGGGACCACTGGTGGTCCACGAGAAAATTTTGGTGGTCCACAGAGCAATGTCACACCCAAAGCAATTAATCCAGGCTACGTGGGAACACAAGGCTGCGCTGCCCACATGGCCTGCGGGAGCACAAGGCTTGTGTCGCTTGCATTGTGAACAACATGAGGTAGTAAGGGGAGGGGGGAAAGGGTGGAGGGGGGTACTTGCCCCACTTGTCCCACGCAACTTGCCTGGCCACTGGGCTGCTTCTTTCTCACAAAGACTCATTTCTGGCGGAGTTTGGGGGAGAGAAAGAAAGACTTCTGCTGCTTCTGCTGCTTTCCTTGCATGAAGCCAAAAGTCTCTCTCTCTCTCTCCCCCTCCCCCAAAGAATGGAGCTGGAGATGGTATCCTGCGATCCCAAATAAAGAAGGATCGATTGGTAGGAAACTGGGATGGGGAATTTTCCTGCAGACTTTTTTGGGGATTTTCCTAGGGTCTCTGGTCCGCGGGATTTAAAATCATTCTTTGGTGGTCCCTGAGGTCCAAAAGGTTGGCGACTCCTGGTCTGAACGACAGAGGTAGACCCAACAGCTTCTCTTTGTTGGAGCTAGGAATATCTAATCTGACAAAAGAAGGACATGGGGGGGGGATATGATAGTGGTTTTTCAATATTTGAGGGGCTGTCAGAGAGAGGAGGGAGTCAAATTATTCTCCAAAGCTCCTGAGGGCAGGACAAGAAGCAACAGAAGGAAACTAATCAAGGAGAGAAGCAATTTAGAACTTAAGGAGGAATTTCCTGACAGTGAAGACAATTAACCAGTGGAATGGCTCACCTCCAAAAGTTGTGGGTGCTCCATCACTGGGTTTCCAAAAAGAGATTGAACATCCATTTGTTTGAAATAGAACAGAAGAGCAGAGTTGGAAGGGACCTCCGAGGTCTTCTAGTCCAACTCCCTGCAGGAAACCCTACACCACTTCAACCAAATGGTTATCCAACATCTTTTTTAAAACTTCCAGAGGTTTTGCATCTATAACATCCATCGTGTCCCCTCCTCTGTCTTCTCATCCCCTACCTTGTGCCCTTTTGTCTAGGACATGAACAAAAGACAGAACCTTTTCCACGAAGATAATTTAATTGCGTCCATTCTGGATCTCGTCATGGCTGGGACAGAGACCACGGCCACAACTCTGCAGTGGGCTGTCCTGCTGGCCATGAGATATCCGGAGATGCAAAGTGAGTTGTTGCTTTCTGTTGTTGTGGGTGTGGTTGTTGTTGTTGGTTTCCACTCTTCTAGCATGCATAGGTGCAAGGGGTAGTAGGGTGAGGATTCCCACCAAGTCCACGGTTTCAATTCTCAGGGCTTGTTTGGGTCAAAAGATGAGTGATAAACTCCCAAAGACAAGAGACAAAAGGGACAGGAAATTTCACGGGGGGCTGTCTTAGGAAATTAGAGAAGGGCTGTCTAGCTGCAAATTTAGTGGAAGAGAATGGATTGGGGGAAGCAAGCAGGCAAAAATAAAAAGGAGGGACGAAGGGGAAGGGAAGATCTCTTAGAGGGAGGGAGGAAAGGAAAGAAGGAAAGGAAAGGAAAGGAAAGGAAAGGAAAGGAAAGGAAGGGAAGGGAAGGGAAGGGAAGGGAAGGAGGAAAGGAAAGAAGGAAAGGAAAGAAAAGAAAGAAGAAAGGAAAGAAGAAAAGGAAAGGAAAGGAGGAAAGGAAAGAAGGAAAGGAAAGGAAAGAAGGAAAGGAAAGGAAAGAAGGAAAGGAAAGGAAAGAAGGAAGGAAAGGAAAGGAGGAAAAGAAAGAAGGAAAGGAAAGGAAAGGAGGAAAGGAAAGAAGGAAAAGAAAGGAAAGGAAAGGAAAGGGAAAGATGATTACAGCAACCAAGAAACTGGCTTTAATAAGAACTTAACCAGGTAACACTTTCTACACCAGTTTTTGAACCAAAACACCTTTGCCTGTGAGAAGTGAAACTTTCAGAAGTTTTACAAGACTTCTCATAGCTCCAAACCTCTGCATTAAAAAACAAAAGACTAACTTAAGAAAAAAGGGGGTACCAAAACACTTAGAATAGAACATGCCTTCTATGAAAGGGAATTTGCATGACAAGCAAAACACGAGTACAGGAAGATATTAAAACAGGGGCGGCTTGTGGCTGAGACTTTAAAAAAAGAGAGAGAGAGAGAGAGAGAGAACAAAATCATGTAGAAATGGGCTGGAATTAAGTGTGGATGAATGAGGACAAGGAGGAATGGCGTGAAATTGAAACGGACAGATTGGCTTTGCCGCAGACGGTGTTTGCTTTTCCCAGGGGTGGAATTCAAACATTTTTTACTACCGGTTCTGTGGGCGTGGCTTGGTGGGTGTGGTGTGGCTTGGTGGGCGTGGCTTGGTGGACGTGGCAGGGGAAGGTTACTGCAAAATCCCATTCCCTCCCCACCTCACTAACCTGCTTCCCAGCTCCGTTCTCCTGTGCAGGGCAACAAAAGAAGACCCAGCTGATCATCTGGGACTTAATGGGAGGCAGAGAAGAGATGGGGGTGGCAGGGCCAGTCAGAGGTGGTTCTCCGGATTCCAGCAATCACCCTAATTAAATCATGATTCTTGAGCCCAACTTCAAAAAACTTCAAACGATTTATTAGAGGCGACATAGTGGCACTGCCCTGTATGAAGCCAACTCCGGCATATGTCATTTACAGTCCCCTGTGACCCTGTTTCCTTCCTCCCCCCGAGTGTCTCATAAATCACATTCTCCAACTGAGCACATATGTGGGTTGGGTGTCATCAATCACATTCTCCAATTAAATATATTCCCGCGGGCAAAAGCTCTGGTATTTTAGTTACTATCTTTTAAAGATAAGACTTGGAATGTACTTCCGCTTCCAAACTGGTGCTCTGCTCTTCTAGATTTCCTTCCTCCCCCCCCCCCCACCCCCAGTGGTGGGATTCAAAAAAATTTACTACCTGTGGGCGTGGCTTGGTGGGCGGGGCAGGGGAAGGATACCGTAAAATCTCCAGTCAGAGGTGGGATTTGCCGGTTCTCTGAACTACTCAAAATTTCCGCTACTGGTTCTCACTGGTCAGAACCTGCTGAATACCCACCTCTGTCCCTCCCCCTTTTCTATGGAAACTACTAAAACATGCCCAGGAATGTTTTATGAGTTGACAGTGGTATTTGCCAGTTCTCCAAACTACTCAAAATTTCCACAACCGCTTCTCCAAAACCGGTCAGAACCAGCTGAATTCACCACCTCTGGCTTTTCCTTTTTTTCTTTTCTTTTTTTGCTGGGCTGGCTGCAGAGAAGGTCCAGGAGGAGCTCGGGCGAGTGGTGAAGCCGGGCCACTGGGCCACTTACGAAGACCGTCGCCACATGCCTTTCACCAACGCGGTGATCCACGAAGTGCAGCGTTTCATCACCCTCCTGCCCCACGTCCCACGAAGCACCTCTGTGGACACCCATTTCCGAGGCTACTTCCTCCCCAAGGTAACTGCCCCCCCCCCTCACATGCACAGGGACTCCTCACTTATGACCCCCCCCATGGAGTCCAAAATTTCTGCAGCTAAGTGAGACGTGGGGGAAGCGAGTTTTGCCCTGTTTTACGACCTTTCTTGATGCGGTCGTTAAGCAAAATGCGATGGTTGTTAGGTTAATATCATGGTCATGATGTATCTGGCTTCCTCGTGGGAAGGTCGCAAAAGGGAATTGCATGACCCTAGAAAAATGCAACCATCATAAATATGAGTCGGTTGCCAAGCGTCCGAATTTTGATCAGATAGATAGAAATGCTCTCAGTGTACATAAAAGAAAAGATACATTCATAAAAAGTCAAGAATCATCAGGTACAACATTTAATATAGTCATAGGGTTATTAGAGTAGAGTAGAGTAGAGTAGAATAGAATAGAATAGAATAGAATAGAATAGAATAGAATAGAATAAAATAGAATAGAATAGAATTATTTATTGGCCAGGTGTGATTGGACACACAAGGAATTTGTCTTGATGCAAATGCTCTCAGAATACATAAAAGATAATAGCATTAGCAATAGCCCTTAGACTTATGTACCGCTTTATAATGCTTTGCAGCCCTCTCTAAGTGGTTTATAGAGTCAGCCTCTTGCTCCCCAACAATCTGGGTCCTCATTTTACCCACCTTGGAAGGACGGAAGGCTGAGTCAACCAGTGGAGCTAGTGAGGATCGAACTGCTGGCAGTGGGCAGAGTCAGCCTGCAATACTGCATTCCAACCCCTGTGCCACCATGGCTCATCATTAATCCCTAAAATCCCATTTGGGAGGAAGGAGGTCTACTTAACTTTCCCCAGCCAGCGTTCTTCAAAATAGATGGATCCTTACTAAGGGATCCATATTTGTGGTGCCTACAAGTCAGTCTTAACCCCAGGTGACCCCACGCCCAACAGCTGAGGAAAGATTAGAGGCAGCTTTGAGGCTCCCGTTCTGATCTTCTCCTTCCAGGGAACCATGGTCATCCCATCGCTGACTTCGGTCCTGCTTGACCAGAGCCAATGGGAAACCCCCCACGAATTCAACCCCAACCACTTCCTGGATCCCAGTGGGAATTTCGTCAAGAAGGACGCCTTCGTGCCCTACTCTTTAGGTAACTCAGGCCTCCTTGGAGACTTTGGGTGTTGGGAAAGGCCCAGGTCCTACATGGCAATAACTGCGGTGAAGAGGACCTCCTTCCACCGACAGGTTTTCCTGCACGGGCTGTGTTGCCGTCGCACAAACGTTGCATGTTGGGAAACGCTTCAGAACACCTTTTCCCAGTTTGGAAGCTCCAACCCTTCCCTCTTCTCCGTCTTCTTCCTCTTCCCCTCCTCCTCCTCCACCTTCTTCCTCTTCCTTCTCCTTCCTCTTCCTCCCCTCCCTCCTCCTTCTCCCTCTTCCTCTTCATCCTCCTCCTCCTTCCTCTTTCCCTCCTCCACCACCTTCTTCCTCTTCTTCTTCCTCTTCTTCTTCCTCTTCTTCTTCCTGTTCCTCTCCTCCCTTCTTCTTCTTTTTCTCCCTCTCCCTCTTCATCCTCCTCCTCCTTCCTCTTCCACTTCTTCTTCTCCTCCTTCTTCTCCTTCTTCTTCCTCTCTCTCTCTTTTAACAGGACGCAGGAACTGCATCGGCGAAAGCCTGGCCAAAATGGAGCTGTTTCTCTTCTTCACGGGCCTACTGCAGAAGTTCACTTTCCGGCCTCCGCCTGGGCTTACCGAAACAGATTTGGATTTGAACGTCCCTAAGACGACCTTCACCCTAAGACCACAACCACAGCAGACCTGGGCCATTCTCCGGGAGTGAAGAATACGTCACATGAGACGAAAGGAGGGGAAAGGACGCTCCTACAGGCTGTGCATTCTTTCTGTGCACGCTCTTTGTGTGTGTGTGTGTGTGTGTGTGTGTGTACGTGAATCATCTGTATCTATACACTTATATTATATACATGTTAGGGCAGTAGTTCTCAAGTTCGACAACTTTTCAAAGGTGCAGACTTCGACTCCCAGAATTCTCCAGCCAGGGCCTGCTTCCTCTGTGAAGCTTTTATCTTGGGAGGACAGAAGATTTACTGCTTTTAGAATAGAGTAACAGAGTTGGAAGGGACCTTGGAGGTCTTCTAGTCCAACCCCCTGCCTAGGCAGGATAAACCTACACCACTTCAGACAAAGGGTTGTTCAATCTCTTCTTACAAACTTCCAATGTTAGAGCATTTACAACTTCTGGAGGCAAGTTGTTCCACTATATTAATTGTTCTAATAGTCAGGAAATTTCTCCTTAGTTCTAAGTTGCTTCTCTCCTTGATCAGTTTCCATCCGTTATTCCTTGTCTGGCCTTCGGGTGCTTTAGAAAATAGCTTGACCCCTTCCTCTCTGTCCCCTCAAATATTGGAAGGCTGCTCTCCTGTCTCCCCTGGTCCTTCTCTCCCTAGACTAGCCAGGCCCAGTTCCTGCAACCGTCCGTCGTATGTTTTAGCCTCCAGTCCCCTCATCATCCTGGTTGCTCTTCTGTGCACTTTTTCTAGAGTCTCAACATCTTTTTTGCACCGTGGCGACCAAAACTGGATGCAGCATTCCAAGTGTGGCCTTATTACCAAGCCCTTATAAATTGGTATTAACACTTCACGTGATCTTGATTCTATCCCTCTCTTGATGCAGCCTAGAACTGTGTTGGCTTGTTTTTGACAGCTGCTGTTCTAATCAAAAACCGGCTTTTCTTGCCTCTGCAGCCTCTTCCTCTTCTTCCGTTTCTAATTCAGAGCCTCGACTGCCTCTCCATGGCTGGTCTGCATCATAGCAAATCTTTTTTTTCTTTTTTGAAACCTCACCTGACTTTTACTGCTAGCTCATCCTCTCCATTTGACACATGGTACAGCACCTCAACGCTGCTTCAAAACCCAGGCTTTTCATCAGAGGCGTCCACACGTTCCTTTTTGATGAATTGGTATAATCCGGGCAACCTTTCAAACCAATTCATCTCTCTCTCCGCCTAGGTTCTTATTCCTGGTTTTGTTTTCTGCTTCCTGGCTGGAGCAAACAAACAGATAACAGATAATCAGAGTTGGAAGGGACCTTGTAGGTCATCTAGTCCAACCCCCCGCCCAAGCGGGAGACCCTACACCATTTCTGACAAATGGCAGTCCGATCTCTTCTTGAAAGTCTCAAGTAATGGCGCTCCCACAACTTCTGAAGGCAACTTCTGTTCCATGGGTTGATTGTTCTCACTGTCAGAAAGTTTCTCCTTATTTCCAGGTTGAATCTCACTCCTTGTTCAGTTTCCATCCATTATTGCTTGATGGAAGAAAGCACCTTGCAGGTTGCAGTGGATGAAAAAGCATCAGCAATGCCCTATATCAGGTAGAGATATGGGAAGACATCCAGCTAAGTCAGGATGGGAAGAAGTGTTATGTGATACCATGCAATGCAAAGTTAGAAGAATTCATCAATGGAACGGCTCCAGAAGTTGTCGGTGCTCCATCACAGGAGCTTTTAAAGAAGAAATTGGACAACCATTTTTTGTGATGGCATAGGCTTTCCTGCCTGAGGAGGGGGTTGGACTAGAACAGGGGTCGCCAACCTTTTGGACCTCAAGGGCCACCAAACTCATAATTTTAAATCCAGAGGGGACCAGAGACCCTGAGAAAATCCCAAAAAAAGTCTGCAGGAAAATTCCACACCCCGTTTTCCTCCTGGCCGATCATTCTTTATTTAGGATCACAGGATACCATTTCCAGCTCCGTTCTCGGGTGGGGGGGGAGGGAGAGAGAGAGAGACTTTTGCCTTCATGCAAGGAAAGCAGCAGAAGTCTTTCTTTCTCTCCCCCAAACTCTGCCAGAAAGGAGTCTTTGCCGGCGCAGCCTCTTGGAGCAGGAGGCCTTGCAGGGTCCCAAAGACTCATTTCTGGTGGAGTTTGGGGGAGAGAAAGAAAGACTTTGGCTGCTTTCCTTGCGTGCAGCCAAGAGCAGAAGAAGAAAGAAGTGGAGAGAAGCAGCCCGGTGGCCAGGCCAGCACGTGGGGTGAGTGGGGCAAGTTCCCCCCCTCTGCCCTTTCCCCCCTCCCCTCACTACCTCATGTTGTTCACAATGCAAGTGACGCAAGCCTTGTGTTCCTGCACAGCCTAGATTAATTGCTTTGGGGGTGCTTTGGGGGTGACATTTCTCTGTGGATCAACAAAATTTTCTCTTGGACCACCAGTGATCCCTGACCCACTGGTTGGCAATCACTGGACTAGACCTCCAAGGTCCCTTCCAGCTCTATTCTGATTGAAGATTGATTGACTTCTGGAGGCAACTTCTGTTCCACTGGTTGATTCACTGTCAGGAAGTTTCTCCTTAATTCCAGGTTGCTTCCCTCCTCAAGTTAGTTTCCAGGAAAGGAAATAAAGTTTTACTTTCCTCCTGCAGGTAAACAGAGGTTTGGACCATCATTTCACTCCGGAACTTACTAGAGGTAGAGGGAATGGCCTTGAGAGACAGGAGGAACAGCTACTCTCAAGGCAGTGATCAGATAAGCAGGGCCAGAGAGCCAGAAACAAATTTGTGAAAATAGTTCAGTCGAGCCCCTCTCTTGTTCATCCCAGGATAAACAGAGGGAAAGGAAAAGAGATCCAGACTTGCAAAATTCTTCAACTTGATCCGATAAAACTCATCCTGATCTACAGGTCACTGGTTTCTTAGTCTTTCTGCCTAGTAAGGTTGACTTTAGGACAGGGGTCTTCAAACTTGACAGCTTTAAGACTGGTGGACTTCAACTCCCAGAATTCTTCCTCCAGTCATGTTAGCTCAGGAATTCTAGGAGTTGAAGTCCACCAGTCTTAAACATGCCAAGTTGGAAGACCCTTTGCTTTAGGAAACAACCACACAGCAGAGCAGTGTTTTCAACCTTAAAACCATTCGAAGAGATGTGGACTTCAACTCCCAGAATTCCCTAGTCAGCCTTTCTGGATTGCATCTGCAAGGATGGATGACCTAACACCTGCCTCTTTTTCCAGCATACCTTGGTGTGACCCTAAAAGTTAGGCTAGTGAGATCTCAGGCCTGATCCAGTCCTTGGGGACTTCTTACATTCTTTGGAATCCATGACAAACTTTTCTCATTTAACTTACGAACTTAATTCTGTCTTGTTAGGGACCGTCCCTGATTGACCAGTGCAGTCAGAACAGAACAGCCCCAAGCAAATGTATATAGTATACAGGTATAGTTTTCTTCTTGCAAACGTTCCAAAATGCCTTTCTGCTAGTAACAGAGACAAATTCTTGTAAATGATTTTGAGAACTGGAACAAAGGTAGAAAACAGATTTTTGTCTCCTCCTCCTCCTCCATCTCTCCCTTCTCTTCTTTTTCTTCTTTCTTCTTCTTCTTTCCTCCTGTCTTCTTCTTTCTTCCTCCTCTCTTCTTCTCTCCTCCACCTCTTCTTTTTCTTCTTTCTTCCTCTCCTCCTCCTCCTCCTCCTTTTTTCTTTTTTTCTTTCTCTCTTTCTCTCTTTCTCTCTCTCCCTTTTCCTTTTCCTTTTCCTCTTCCTATTCCTCTTCTTCTTCTTCTCTTTCTCCTCCTCCTCCTCCTCTTCTTCTTCTTCTTTCTTCTTTCTTCTTTCTTCTTTCTTCTTCTTCTTCTTCTTCTTCTTCTTCTTCTTCTTCTTCTTCTTCTTCTTCTTCTTCTTTCTTCTTTCTTCTTCTTCATTTTATTTATTTATTTTGTCGAGCGATTATAAGATAACAGGTATAAGTATAAACTTAGTTATGACCACATGAAATGGATACATATAAGAAAAATAAAAAGAAACAATAGGACAGGGACAGTAGGCACGTTGGTGCGCTTATGCATGCCCGCTACAGACCACCACCACCACCTCCTCCTCCTATTGAATTTCAGCCACAGGAATTTCCGTTCCAGCCTCCCCTGGAGGGCCATCTCAATACTCTGGGGGTTTCAGGTGACAATTTTTAGAGTCCCCGGCTTCCCTGACACGGCTGATTGCCTTCCTTGGTTGAATCAGAAAATGCTCAGTTTTTCTCATGCCAAAAACGCTTTGTGTCTCTGCAAGTGCTCGGGAGGAAGTGGGCTGGGTCGGTGGTGGATTGTCTCCGAGAATATTCTGTTATCTGAGATGAAATGCCCAGTACAATACCGCTGAAGCTTTGGGGATCATGCCTGAAATGACCGCTGGCAAATACACAGGAAGGGTTTGGAAATTTGCAAAAAAAAAAAAAAAAGGTCCGATTGTTCCTGAGTTACTTTAACAATTTTGGGGACATCGGTTCTGTTTCCAACAGTTGATTCCTGTCTTCAGCCCAAGCCAATAGATCAACCTTCTTCACTTTTAAGATGCGTGGACTTCACCTCCCAGAATTCCCTGCACCAAACCACTGCACTAGATCTTGTAAACGTTTTAGGCCTTTCATCTGAATGGACAATTCTATTGATGGGGTGTCCGTCTCAAGTGCCATGCAATGAAAGTAGCATTTCGTGCAATGGAGTCTGGTTTGGTACCAAATAGTTTCCTATATTCTTGGTGAAATCAGGCCTTTGTTTAGGATGGGGAGACTGGAAACTTCATATTTACCTGTAAGGAGAACCTATAGCTTAATCAGAGGGTGCCTGTTTTATAGATGGATCTCCAGCATCCCCCGGGAAAGGCTGGAGAAGATTTCTTTTGATTCTTTGGAGAACTATTGTCCATCAATGTAAGTAACATAGAGCTAGTTGAATTGAGACATGCAACATGCAACATTCAACGTCAAACACTAAACCAGAAGGCAGTTTCAGCTTAAGGCAGTCTCTAAATTCAACTGTCTTATATTTTGTAAACCTCATTGGATGAAGCAAGCGACTATAGCTTATTCCACAACTCCTAGTTACAACAATGCAAGGTTTATAGTACCTGGGTAGCAAGCGGCT